CCCCCATTCCTCTTTTCTTCTTCACAAGTTCTGGTTCCCGCAACTCAAGGTAAGAAGAAATCTCCCACCCCATCCCCTTTTAAAATGTGATAAAATCAGTAAAGCAGTCTCAAATATGAAATCAACACACAACGAAATAAACGGAATTTTCACATTAATTTTATTTTAATGGCCCCCCACCCTCTCGGCTAGGTCCTGCCGCAGATGCACGTCAAATTCGAAGATCCCGCCTTTTCCTATTAAAGAACCGTATACACAATCTTCCGTTAACTGTCTTATCATTAACCTCCAGTTTAACCTGTGTTGTCTTCAGTGAAACTTTTTGTCTTCAGTTCACCTTTTTTATGAGACCCCCCGGGGCTATGCCACTGACTTAAGTGTCTTTAGGCCATTCCTAAAGGGGGGACATATCTCGTTTAAGCATAGTGGAATTGTAAATGGGCTGACTCATGTCACGCTCATAACTGTGCCTGATCTACAACAGGGAACTGCTGCTTTTTCTTTCCTGATCCTTACTATTGTCATTTTCCTCTACTTCTTTTGTATGTTTGTCACTCCCTTGTGACCTGCTATTTTGGGGTGCTTGATAGTCGAAGCAGACTTTGTGCTGTTGAAGCTAGAGAGGTGAACAGAGTAAGTCTGATTCCCTGTAAAGACTTCTCAGTTGACACCCACCCCTTGGCGCTCATATGACCTTATGCAGTTCCGAACGCCGTAAAACCCCCCCACTATAAAAACAAAACAAAACAACCTTTTTTGCCTTCAGTTTACCTTTTTGTCTTCAGTTCACCTTTTTGTCTTCAGTTCACCTTTTTGTTTTCAGTTCACCTTTCTGTTTTCAGTTCACTTTTTTGTTTTCAGCATACCTTGTTTCGTCTTCCGTTAACTTAACCATGTTTTGTCTTCAGTTCTGTGTTGTCTTTTTTTGTCTTCAGTTAAGTCTTGTCTTTTTTGTCTTTAGTATACCTTATCTTATTTCTACTTTACTCTATTTTGTCATCAGTTAAGTTTTTTTTTTCCGTTAAACTTTTTGTTGGTCTTTTTGTGTCTTTTTTGTCTTGGATGTACCTTGTTTTATTTCTACTTACTCATGTTTTGTCAACAGTTAACCTTATTTTTGTCTTCAGGTAAGCTTTTCTGTCTTTTTTGTCTTCAGTATACCTTGTTTTATTTTTACTGAACCCTTTCTGTCATCAGTTAAGTTTTTTTGTTTTGTTTTCTGTTAAGTTGTTTTGTCATCAGTTAAAGATTTTTTTGTCAACAGGTAACCTTATTTTGGTCTTCAGTTAAACTTGTATGTCTTTTTAGTCTTCGATATACCTTGTTTTGTTTCTACTTAACCCTGTTTTGTCACCAGTTAAATCTTTTTTGTGTTCAGTACACTTTGCTTATTTCTACTTTACTCTGTTTTCTCATCAGTTATATTTTTTTGGTTTTCTGTTAGGTCTTTTTGTCTTTTTTCTGTCTCTTTTGTTTTCGATATACCTTGTTTTGTTTCTACTTAACCCTGTTTTGTTTTTAATTGTCTTTTTTTGTTTTCAGTCCCAGAAAATGACACATCTTCAGGCTCGCAGAATGTTACAACAACACAGGGTGAGTTGATCTGAAGATGTGTGTCTAGTAGATTATACTGACTCCTTGATAAAAGGGGGGGGGGGGGCTCTCGTGGTCTAGAGGAACGGTGTTCGCCTCTCATTCAATAGGTCCTGGGTTCGAAACTTGACAGCGACAGAACATTTCCTTTTCTAAAATGTTCTCCTCTCAACTCCTTTCGTGCTCTCTGATCATGTTCTGTCGTCTCCACTCTCTGCCACCCCCCTCCCGGCCTGTCATCTGGGCTCCTGACTCTTTCTGCAGCCTTTCTTCTGCTACTCCTTGGCTCTTTCTTACTGCTGCCTTTGAGCCACACCCTTGACCTAAGGGAAGATAAGATCAACACCTACTCTTCTCGGATAAGGGTGAAAGAATCTCGGAGGTCCCGTGTGATAGTTGGGCACGTTAAAGATTCATTGGTGGTTCTAAAAATCGATAAGAGCTAGTAGGCTTCGGCCGCCACCCGGCCAAAATTCAAAACTAATTTCTACCAAACTGAAAATGCTTAATGTGTCCCGAGTGCTCATAATATGACCGTATGCAATTGTGAGCGCTGTAACACGCTTACCAAGAACAGTTGTGAGGCATCGTGGTGAAATCAGGCCCTCGTCAAAATAAAGAAATCAAAGATACTGGTATTTTTTCGTCAGTTCAGCACTTTTTATCGAACTTTTGTTTTTTGACTCATCATCTTTAAGGTCCATTTAAAAACACATTTCTGCATGGATTTTACTGACAAATATTGATTTAAGGCACAGAAATGTAAATTTGTAGTTTCTAAAGAGTCTTAAACTTTGGAAGTCGCCAAACTTTGGCGGCCATTTTCTAGTAAATTTTACCTCTGAAACCACCTCTTTCAATCGCAAATTTCTCCACGTCTTTTCAAGATAGATGGGTAATTTTTCATCGAAAGCAAGACAAACGAACAAGCTTTAAATGCCCAAAAATTGACGAGCGCCCGATTACAACAATGTCGTGACACAATTACTAATAAACATGTACGCCCCCCCCCCCCCCCCCCCGCAGGGCAGTGCCACTGACCGAAGTGTCTTTAGGCGTTTCCCAAAGTGTTCTTACGCACAGTAGAATTTTGTAAAAGGGCAGATTTTATTAACGCTACGCTCATGCTGTGACGGAAAAACATAGGGGGAACTGCTGCTTTTTCTTTCCACATTCTTACTATTGTAATTTTCCTTCTACTTCTTTTGTATGTTTGTCACTCTCTTGTGATGAACAGCTATTTCCTGGGTGCCTTGATGGTCGAAGCAGACTTTGTGCTGTTGAGGCTAGAGGGGTGAGCAGAGTAAGCCTGAATCCCCGTTTGGACTTCTCTGTTGTCATCCACCCCTTGGCGCTCATAATAATGACCTTATGCAGTAGCGAGCGCCGCAAAACCTATGAAACTAAGATATGTACTTTTGGTTGCACGATCCCTGTAGTCCCTATCCAGCAGTGCGTGGACTACGATGACTCATGCCCCAGTTACATTGACCAGTGTGGCAACGATTCCCTGGTGGACAGTGCATGTCGACTCACCTGTAATCTCCCGCCCTGTCGTGAGTATCTCGTAAACTCTGTCTGTCTGTCTGTCTGTCTGTCTGTCTGTCTGTCTGTCTGTCTGTCTGTCTGTATGTCTGTCTGTCTGTCTGTCTCTCTCTCTCTCTTTCTCTCTTCTCTCTCTCTCCCTTTTTGTATATCTGTCAATTCCCACTAATTTTTCTGGGCTAGCTTTGACAAGTAGGGTTGAAGCAGCCTGACTCCTGAACAATTATTAACCTTGTGGATAGGTTTGTAAAATCCTACAATAAGAATGCTACTACTACTACTACTACTACTACTACTACTACTACTACTACTACTACTACTACTACTACTACTACTACTACTACTACTACTACTACTATATAGCATATTTTGTATCGCGTATCCCCGCTCGAAAGCGAGCTCTGTGCGCTTTACACTATATTAAATGTTACTGTTGTACATCGTACTGTATCGTAAAGCGCTCAGAGCCTGTGTACTTTAATCGGGGTTGAGCGCTGCATAAATGTCATTTATAATTATTATTATTAAATGAAATGTGGTTGTATGTTGTTATTTCGGGAAACCATCAGAGCCGCTCACTTTCGAGAAAAAATTATCAAAGCCCCGCCTTATCATAGCTGCGCACTTTGTGACGATATCGATACAATTAGATTGCCGATTCCATTCAACAGCTACAGTCCCCCTGACAAAATTAATCTGTGCTGCCCCCATCCAGATATATTAGTCTTTCTGGAGACGTTAGGAGACTTTCAGACCCTTTCTATGCTGAAACTAAAACATACAGCTATAATAGAAAGACACTACCAAGAAAGAGACAGGGAGAATGAATAACAAGCAAACGTTCACACATGGGCATGTCTCACTACTTCAATTGTTATCCTAAATAAGCAAGCAAATGCTGCCCTAACACTTTAAAGATTGTCCCTGTCCTGTAGATGTGTTTTTATACCTGAAAAGCCAATTCTTTCAATACAAAATCTAATTGATATAAATGCTGGTCCCAAATCCAGTAAAGCGCAGAGTCGACTTAAAGTGTTCGATAGTACTGGTTTTGGTAATCAGAAATCTAATTGTATCGATATCTTCAAAAAGTGCGCGGATTTGATAGTGCGCGGCTTTGATAGTTTTTTTCTCGAAAGTGCGCGGCTAAGATCATCATCATCATTGCCTTTCTCACCCTGGGTCAGGATAAAGGCCACGAACAAACACTCTCCACCTTTCCATATCCTGGGCTAGTCGCTTGATGTCGCTCCACGTCTTCCCACTTTTCCGTTCATCCATTTCCGTGACTCTTCTCCAGGTTCCACGAGGTCTTCCCCTTGATCTTTTACCCTGTGGGTGCGCGGCTATGATGTTCTCCCGTTATTTCTTTCCCACAGCGTTCGTGGCGCCAGTGGACGACTGTGCAGACAGAGACAATCAGTGCATCTTCCTGCTCCGAAGCTTTTACTGTGGCCAAGACCCACTGGTCAACAGGATCTGCCCTGACTCTTGCGGCCTCTGTGGTACGTTCCGAATGTAGGAAGGACACTATACTGTATTCAAAAAGGTTGATGTAGGAAATGTACTGTCTTCAGTGAGGTCAATGTAGAAAGCTATACTGTGTTAAATAAGGTCAATGTAAGAAACTGTACTGTTTACGGTGAAGTCAAAGTAGGAACATGAGTAGAAAATGTACTGTATTCGGTGAGATCAACGTAGAAAACTATACTGTATTCGAGAAGGTTGATGCAGAAAATTATTGTTTTCGAAGAGGTCAGTGTCAGAAAACTAATCTTTGATTGTATTCGGTCTGATAAATGCAGACATCTATTGTGTTCGGTTATCTAAATGTAAACAACTTATCATTGTTTTAGCTATCAACATTGTACGTATCATTATTATCACCTTCATCAATATTATTGTTTCTTCTTGATCAACAACGTTGTTGCATTTATACGACTAGGAGTTACCTCAGAGGTTTAGCACTTTCCATCAGGTGGGTGGTTGGCGGGGGCTCTGGTGTGGTTTGCTTCTTCTTTCCTATCAAACATCTGTCATCTTTATCTCCCCTCCTTCTTTTTCGTGTTTGTTACTCTCTTGTAAAAACTCTAATCTTCGGCACTTTTAATATGACCTTATTGGGTTGAAAGTGCCGTAAAACACTTACTAAAAAAACTACAAGCTTCCTTCGGCAATGGATACGTTTGTTTTCCCAGGAAAACTCTGGTGGCAATAATAGTAACGGCACTGGTTATGTTGTTTTTGTTTTTCACAAAACTCTGGTGGCAATAGCAATAACGGCAGTGGGTATGCTTTGGTTTTTCAGGAAACTCTGGTGTCAACGATACTAACAGCAGTGGATATGTTTTGGGTTTTTTCAGGAAACTTTTGTGGCAATGGTACTAACGGCAGTGGATAATATGTTGTTTTCTTTTCTCAGGAAACTCTGGCGTCAATCCTGGCAACGTGAGCACAGTGACGGACGCACCAGGCTCCACCAACATCAGCTCCCCCGGCGGTCTGAACGACACCTGCATGGACTACGACCTCGAGTGCCCCTATCTGCTGGACTTCTGCATGAGAAAAGACCTGCTAGTCAACCGACTCTGTCGACAGTCTTGTAAACTCTGTGGAGTGGAGCTAGAAACCCCTGGTGATTAAAGGAAGACCTGGGTCGGCGATCCCAGACTATATCGACAAAATTTTTCAAACTATCCAACTTTTGTTTTTTGCGGAAAAACACCCTTTGACATCTGTTCTATTGGATCACAATGACGAAACTGTTGAAAATACATCCTAAATGATATAAAAGGACGTTTGAAAAGTACAAATTGCACGAAAAATCCTTTCAGAAATCCCTGTTTTATCTGTTTTTCTCAAAATCTACTTTTTGACCTATTATGTGACCTCCGTGGTGCAAACGTATTAAAACAAACAAACAAACAAAAACAAGCAAACAAAAACAAATAATTTTGCGGCACCTGTTAAACAAATCAAATAAATCATAATGTTTGTACCGAAGATTGAAAGATGTTACTAGAGAATAGCATACACATAAAAAGGAGGAGAGATAAAAGAACGACAGATGTTTAATAGGAAAGAAGGGAGCAAACCACACTAGAGCACCCGCCAAACTCTAACTTGCAAATAAATGCTCTTTTCATTCACAGCATGGATTTTTTAAAATTCGGTACAATGTTCTATTTCGTTCACTACAATGCTTTTTCATGCTCAACTGTGTTCTTTTTTCCTTAACTACCATTTTTTTTTTTCACTACACGTTTTTTTTGTTCACTACAAGTTCTGTTTTGTTCACAACAATTTTTTTTGTCCACGACAATGATAATTTTGTTCACCATAATGTTCATTTTGTTCACCACAATGTTCTTTTTGTTCACCACGGTATACGTTTTGTTCACCACGGTGTTTTTTTCTGTTGACCATGATGTTCTTTTTGTTCATCATGATGTTCTTTTGTGTTCACCACGGTGTTCTATTTGTTCACCATAATTATCTTTTTGTTCAACACAATGTTGTTTTTGTTCACCATGATGTTCGTTTTATTCACCATGATGATCTCTTTTCCCCCAGCCCCAAGAGTGACAACCACTACGAACCCACCAACCGTGGTGATCACTACAGCTAAACCTAACACCTTACCGCCACTGAAACGTACGTACTTTGTGTGTTTTGTGTGTGTGTGTGTGTGTGTGTGTGTGTGTGTGTGTGTGTGTGTGTGTGT